CCGTCACTTGGGCAATGGAAGTCACAGCGATACTGATTTACATACGTACAAATGCCTGTATGTGTGTGCAATTTTACATGTACTATAGTATTTTTATGCTTAAACCATTGAATGGCGCACTTTTGAAATTCACGAATCGAACGATCTACACGCGCCGGCGCTTTTCACTTTCCACACACACTTTCGACACTTTAATTTACAGTGGAAAATTGTAAAATCTCTTTATGCGAACGCATAAATTGAATATTGTCACTTCTTGGTGTTTGCAGGCAACTTTTTTTTGTTTTTGTTGTTGCCGGTGTTGGCGAATTCGAGCTCGAACGCGCGCGCAAATGGGCGGTTGAATGCAACACTGTACTACGGTATATGAGTGGCAGCAGATAAGCGTTACGCTGGTAATGGTGCTTCGGCATTTTGCGGTTCACCGAGCAATTTGCCAAATTAAATTAGACCACAAAAGTGCCGTCAACGTCAAGACGACAAACACACCACCCACNGTTACGCTGGTAATGGTGCTTCGGCATTTTGCGGTTCACCGAGCAATTTGCCAAATTAAATTAGACCACAAAAGTGCCGTCAACGTCAAGACGACAAACACACCACCCACCACAAGAACAACAACAGAAAGCATTACCCATTGGCAAGAGCAACGTATAAAAGCCTTGCTGCCAACAATTACACAAATACATACATAAATATGTATGCATGTGTGTATATGCATATTCTAGTGAATTTATTCCAATATCGTCGTTCTCTGGTGGCCCACATTGCAGAAAAGCGTAGCGTGGAATATGGGAAACCAGCGGGGAGCTTAACGATGACTCTAAAAACTGGTAACAGTTGGTAAGATGCTTGGCTTAGTTTGGTTTGGTTGTTGCTGCTGCTGCTGCTTTTGTTGCTGCTACTGTGGCCGCCCTGACTACTATTGGCAATGCGCGCAAACAGCTCAGTGGGAGCGAGTAATAACTGCGAGCGACAGCAAGTACGGAAAAATAAATAATCAAATTGTGCTGGTGCGTCCATCAAAGTGTACAGCATCGACCCTAATGCCAAGCATAAATGGATAAACACTCCTCGAAAGGAGCCATCGCATGAAAGCGAAACTGGAAACAGATAAAGTCGTTACAGCTTTAGTGTATACAAAGGTCAAGAGGGAGGAGGGAAGAGCGAAAGTTGCGCGGAACGTCACAATAATAATTAAATAGCCAGTTGGACAAGCAGTTAAGTGGAGGAAGAAGGGCGTAAGGCAGGTCAGTGGCCACACTCAAGTTTTAAAATGAGCACAGCTGAGCCTTTTTCGCCGACTTTGATTTAAATACTTAAGTATAATAACTTTAGTTATGGCACTTGCTTTACAAATTTGGATAAATTTCTCGCTTAAAACGTACAAATTTTCTGGAATACTATTTTAAATATTCCGCCTATATTTTAAGTTCCAACTGGTATTTGCAATTCCCATATACTTGAAGTTGAAATTCTCACAGGATAAGCATTCCAGGAAAGACATTTTAATATCTATAATCAAGGAATAAACCGAAATCGAAACCGTAACCGTTATTTTGACCAGAAAAAAACACGAAACCGAAAACGTTTTAAGCACAGGAACCACTTCCAATCTGTTTCGAGATGAGTAGGTATAAAAATCAGCTGCAGAATCTGGCAACTACAAGCTGGGTTTTCTTCAGTGGATTGCAACAATGTTCCGTTACACGATAAAAAATTTGCTTTCACTTGAATTGACAGCTCTGACGTTGGCTGCACGGAACTTGATAGTCTATTTTCGTTTTAAGATGCCGTCGTCAAGGAAACAACTTAAAATTCTCGCTTTGTTCCTGTACACACATCTAAATGAAACAACAATTCTGGAGCACTGGACAGACTAACAGCGCAATTCTGGCTAAGTTAGTAAAAAGCTTTTCGTAAGACAAAATTGAAACACTTTTCGAAAGACTTTTGTTATTATAGCACTAAAGTCTTGGAAGCGAAAAGCTTTCTGAGAGAAAGCAAAGCACAGGCGTACTATTCGAGAGACCGATTTCGAATCCATGCAAAGCGGATTTTTTCATTTTTTTTAATCGGATTTCTAAAATTTGTTGTTCAAAAAAGCATATACATATGTATATATTTTTAATATAATTCAATTAAATTTTTAGAAACTTATTTTATGTTTGTTTCTTTTTAAAAATTTTTTATATTTCTGAATTAAATTTTCTTTTACGGTTATGGCATTTGTTATATGTCTAGATGTTATTCTGTTAAACAGAAGAATATTTTTTTAATTTGGTTTATTTTTTAGGACCTTATTTTATTTTTTTCTTCTTTTAAACTAAATTTTTTTTCTTTTTTTAATTCAATGTCTTATAATTTTTAGATTTTATTGTTTAAAAAAGAAAAATATATTTTTCAATATCATTTATTTATTTTCTAGAAATGTATTTTATTTTGATTTTCCTTTTACTAATTCGATTAGCTTTTTCAGTTTCTTTTAATTTTTGAATTTTGTTGTTTTAATTCGAAAAATAAGTTTTGTTTTTATTAAATAAATTTTTGTGATTTTGCATTTTTAATTTAATTTCTTTACTTTCTAGATTCCGGTTTTAAAATTTGTATTTTAGTTAAATTTTTATAAAAAATGCTTGTATTTTTACAGCTATGCTTATTTATTTTTGCTTTAGTTTCATATTTTTTATTTTATTCTTTCCTATTTATTGAAATTTTTATTTATTTATTATTTTTTATTAAAAAAATAATAATTTTTGATTTCATTAAACTAACTTAAAACTTATTGTTAAAAGGCGAACAACATAACGCTAAAAGCCCGGTTTTGTAAGACTTAGACAGAGAAAAAAGCTTTCTTTGGACTTTTATTTTATTTGAAATAAAATAAGCGGTCAACGTCGACTTTTATTCTTTAGTCCAGTAATACCAGTCAAACTTGGCCAAATATTTTTTAAGTCCGAAATAAAAGTCGTTTCCTAATAACAAACAAACCGCTCATCCAAATCAAACAAATTTGGTATCAAATGAAAGAGAACTGAAATGGCTTTCAAATATAAATAGCTAAACGAGGGTTGCCACCTATTTGTTAGTGACAGAGGTAAAACGTAGTACTTGAAAATATTTTGAAGAGCATTGCAACCTTTTTATAAGTCGAATTTTGTTAACTTATACGCAAGTTATATGAAATATAAAAAGATGGGTATCAAACGAGACATTTTCAAGGAATTTTTAGTTTGAACTTGGAAATCTTTGAACATAAAAAAAAAAATTTATTCAAATTATTTAATAAGTTTAACGAAATATTAAAAAATGGGTATGTATATAGGAGATTTGCCACGTGTTTAAGGTCAATTTATTTCAGCAGTTGAAAACGATTTTAGTTTGAAACTACCTTTAAAGGGGTTGCCACCCGATTGAAAAGTCAAATTCATTTAACTTATGCACAAGTTATATGAAATATTAAAGTGTGGTTTTCAAACGGAAGAGTATTAGGAAATCTCTAGTGATCTATTAGAGTTTTTTTGAGGTTTTCTGTTTAAAAAATTTTAATTCAAAATATTTAATAAGTGAAATTAGTCGTTAAACGATGGATGTTAATAGAACTGAGATTAAAATAGATTAATTTCTAATCTGTATAGAGGAGAGTTGCCACGTGTTTAAAAAATCAAATGCCACTTAATTGTAATTGTGAGTCACAATGTCAAACAAAAATTTGAGAAAGAAGTTAGTTTGAAATTACTTATAGTAAGGGCTGCCACCCGTTTGAAAGTCGAATTTGTTAAACTTATACACAAGTTAAATGAAATATTAAAACATGAGTGTCCAGCCATCTTTAGTTAGAAAATATTATTGATTAGGGTGATGTACTACATATGATCTGCGCCGTTATTTTGCATTTCGAAAATGGGATATCGAATTAAAGAACTGGAGCAGTAGATGTTTTATTTTTAGAAGTTAGAAATTTGTTTAGCGGTATTGGGTGATTGGAAATGAGAAAGGGATGTCATGCGCTTATCTTCAGTCGGAAACGGCTGGATGGAATTAGGTGAAACATTTGAAATATTTTGTTAAATTTTTTAATAGGGCTTCCATCTGTTTTAAAAGTTAAGACTTCTATTTTGGCCTGAAAAATGTTTTTAAATTATAAAATATATATAAATAGGTGGCAACCTTCGTTCATATATATTTCGGTCCTCTTTCATTTGATACCAAATTTATATGGTTTGGATAAGCGGTTGGTTTATTACGACGAAATGACTTTTAATACAGACTTAAAAAATATTTGGCCAATTTTAACAGTTATTACTGGACTAAGAAAAAAAAAGCCCGGATGTTTCAGTTATTATTAGACTTTTTCCCAAAAAACTCGAAAAATGTAATCAATCCAGAATTCTTGTCCAGGAGGTGCTGCCATCAACGCAATATTGATGACTCTATTCTACGACAATATTTTGTCCCAGACTTTTGCATACAAAATCGAAAAAATAACCGTTATTTTCGGTCTCTGAAAAAAACAACTTCACTTAGAAACTTGAAGAACTATAGATTTTTGATTTCTCCATTTAGTTTCTAAGTGTAAAGACAGCCGTGAGCGAATCATATGGCCGTATAATTTTTTCAAATGCTCTTAATGAAATTCCACCAAATATGCCACACCAATATGATGCCATAAATAAATGTATAAATGCAATTCATCTGGCAGTCGAAAAACAAACCTAAGACCTCCTCGTTAGTAGATCTTTGAATTAGTCCTTAAGGAGAGGCAGTAAAGAGCTTTCAAGATAGTTGCCAGAATTGACAGCTGTCTTTCGAAAGACTTTGTGACGTGTCAACGGGCACTCGCAAGTCTTTGCTATTCGTAGAATTGTACATACATATCTATATGTACCTGCTCACATTTATGTAGACGAATGCATAAATTAGCCATGAAAAAACGCCATGCTTCATAATCGCCCAGTCAAATTTCAAGTGTCAAGTTTAATTAAAATCAGTGAACTTACATTTTTGAACCAAGCATACGAAGTTACTGGTGGCCTCGCATCGGCGCGACACTTGAAGGTCACGTTTTCTCCCTCAGATTTGGTCACAAAACGACTGGGATCCTCGTTGGCTAAATGCACGGACACTGTTGGTGGATCTGTAAAAGATGGGATAAAAAAAAGTATTTGAATATTATGGGTCAGCACGAATAAATATAAATTGAAGTTGGCGGCAAGTTAAATGAGCGATACAAATTGCAGCATAAAAGTAAACTGAAATAAATTTGAATGGGTCAAAAGTTGCCGCCACAATGAGCCACAATGCAGCCATGTGTAGCGCACAGCAACAGCAACAATAACGAGCAGGCGCTGAGAAATCATTTGGCACGAAGCTGGCAGGCTGAGTTGCAGAATATAGAGGAGTAGTTTGGAGTAGAAGGCGGCAAACGAAACCACTTTGGCGCACAGTGTGCGCAGCAGATAACGAAAACTCCTCCACTTAAAAACTAATTTAACAACACTACTGCGCTGTTTGTTTGCCAAAGGCGCCATTTTTATTACCTTTATTACACGTGTAACTATTTATAATTTTTTCTATTCTATTTTATATGCCTATTAAGAAGGTTTTATTAAAAAAATTTCGAAACTGCATACAGCGCACACCGTGTGGCGCCTGCTGCTACCAATGAATTTTGTTATTTAAACCAAGTATTTTATACAAATAGGCGAGTTGCCATATAAAATATGTATACATACATATGTACGTAAGTGGCTATGTATATGCTAATGAAGTAGAATATATAAGTATGTACATAGTTTGTTTGTGTGTGTTACCAAAACTGCCTGCTATGGAAAAAAGCGCATTAAATGCGGCCCATTAGACACGCTTGCGCGCACTTTACTTATTTATATATGTATTATTCCACAACAAGGCAGAACGTTGCACACCAGAGCTAGCCATGTCTACATGGACGGCAGCCGAACGAAGCAAAGTAAATTCATCTGAACTGAGGTCATATGAAATTTACTAACTCGAATGGGAAGTACTCTCTAGGTGAAGTTGAATCGCTGATATAAAATTAGGCTAATAGAATGAAGTATGGCGCAATGGGATACCATTTCTACTCACTAGATCACTAATACACTTTCAAGCATTAAATTGGTTGACCAAATAGCTACAAACGATGTATACACCTACAAGGATATCTAACAACATACGTATGTTTATGTATTATCATAATGCAAATAATGCTTTTCATAGTTTGAGCAAACGAATATCTGCACAAATGAGTTAAAAAAAGAAATAAATAAAAAAATATAGCCACAAAAGTGAGAAGGAATTTTAAGCCTAAATACACTGTAGGGACGCTAAAATGAGACACAAAAAACGCCGATACACGTAAACTTAATTTTAAGTTTGCATTAATAATAATAATCAGGGACGGTAAATAGTCATTATTTTTTAAGTTTTAACCAAAAAAAAATCAACAAGTTTTAATCGTCGAAGAACAGTTTTAACTATACTGACATATCTGCTTTCGACCGTCCTACTGTAATTTAAAATGATTTTTATATTTGAAATTTAATCAAAAATGATTAAAGATAATAATTAATATTTGAATTTGGTTGTTCGCTCAAAGGAAATTATTGTAAAAAAATTAGAGTTTCTGTGTAAGAAATGTGTGTTAAAGTCTGTTCCTTTAGAAAAAATTAAGCTACCAATGAAGAAAATCAATGGACAAATAAGAAAGTAATGATCGGGCAAATGAAAATGCCCAAGGCTTTTGGTAGAAAATATGAGCAGAAAGGAGTGTTACTCATACGCCACGTACACCTAGGTACTTAGAGTGTTTGTATTGAAAACAAGAGGTGTCAGAAATTATTAATTAATTAATCAGAAACTGTCATAGCTAGCGAAAAGTGGTGTATATACAGTTTATGGAGAATTGTACTAGCTCTTATTGTCCGTATCTTGTATTATGACTCTTCGATTAATTCGTAAGATATACGTGATTAAATGAAACCACTCTTTTTTTAAGCTGAATAACGGTAAATTTCAAATATCTCGAAAAGTTATCCATAGAAAAAAAATTATCTCAGTTCTCGCAATCACCGAGCAATTCTACATAGGAACAGGATAGTGACATCTATAGAAAATGTTTGCTGTAAACCACTGTTATCGATACCATTCTTGGTGGTTGTTTAGTCATAAAAAGCTGTGTCCTAATACATAAGCTGTGCAGTAACAAATATATACAACTTTTTTCTGTTTAAATTTCATTTTGTTTACATACAAAATACTTGTTTATATTTTTCTTATCCCTTAATTGCAGCTTTAATATCTGTGTACGAGTATGTGTTATGCTGAAAATTTAATTTAAATTGTACAAAAGAAAAACTACAAAATGACCTACTGGCATGAATGCAGATGTGTTTTCTTCCATTTAATTTTATTTCTAATTTTTATTTCAAGCATTCGTACTTGAGGACATACATACTTATATATCCAAGAATCTTTTTATCTACATACATACGCATGTATGTATGTGTATGTACATTAGCGTGGTTCATAAATGAAGGTTAAAAAAATAAAAAGTCAAAATTGTAATGCTCTCACCCCCTAGGATTGTTCTTAATGGAGAAAATATGCCCTTTTTATTTCGAAATTTAAAAATACCATTCCATATATTTTATATAGAAAAAAACAATTTTTCATATAAATGGTATAAAATTCATATTTTTCTATCGGAAAACTCTTTTTCTCTTCAGGAGACTTCCGAAAATAATACCGAATTGTTATTAAGTAATTTTTTAATACTAAAAATTTGTTTATGGGTCCCGCACTGCATTTTTTTGGGGGGTTTTGGAGGGCCTAGAAATATAGTTTAATAATTACTAGAAATCTGCTGAAGAGAAATAAACTTTTCAGATCAAAAAACATTGATTTTCAATAATTCTAAACTATTTCTCTGAATTTTTTTTTTTTTTTTTTTGCAATATAAAATACACGCACCAGCCTCTAAATAATTTTTGATAAACAAAAAAAATCGCGGATGTATTTTTTCGGTATAGAATAACCCCAATGGACAGCATTAAAATTCCAACTTTACTTTTTTTTGGACCCCCCTAAATTAAATACACCCATATTCATACCTACTCGTTAAGATCATAAATAAGTACAAGCTTATTGTGCTTGGCACCACTCTTGCTGACATTGTTATACTATACGAGTAAAATACATATCTACATATGTACATATGTATGTATATACATATATTGCGGCACTTGCGTTGATAACGAAACGGCATGCCGTTGTACGCTCTGATTTTGCTCATTGTTCCTGCTGCTCGTTGTTTCCTGCTGCTGCCAATAACGCCTTTTCCTGTATTGCCCACTCTTTGCGAATTGGCAATCGAATATCACATAGATAAGTACATAAATACGACGACGAGGACAGGAGTATTGTGCTCATTTTATCGCTTATATTACTGTCATGCTTGTCCTTTCCACTGTATTGGCTATTATGGGAATTAAATATCTCTGCATACCTATGACACTATGCACACTACTCGCCAATGTCTCAGCAATTCTGACAGATTCTAAAAATTCATTTCACTATTTTCCATAAGCATTTTTCTATTCAATATGTATGTATGTGCATACACAAATATGTATATGTATGGTTTGTATGTATATTTAGCTGCATAAAACATCAAGATATGCCCATAACCATGCTAATATATTTGCTTGTTTGCTTGTAATTCATTTTACAGGACTCGAATACCACAACCAGCATTCTCAATTTGAAGGTAACATCGGAGAACGATAATGCTGAACTGACGTGTCGTGCATCGAATCCTTGGTTCTCTGGTAGTGCCATTGAGGACAAGCGCATCATTCGAGTGGCATGTAAGTATAAACATGCATGTACATATATATAT